CCCAAGGTTAACAAAGTTGAGTTTTGGAACACAACCCGGTGAGCACAAATCACGTGACATCAATCACGTGAAACCCCCGAATGGCCAGTCTCGCTCTCTCTACTTCTAAGGACACTAATCAAAAACGTCGAAATGAAATGGACGTGCGATAATCACCAATCAGAAATTGGCCACGACACCGAGAACATTGTGGACTATTAGCTCACCAATCAGAAATAGCCGAAAAACAACATGGCTATTATCAATAAGTCGCCATAATGCGCCACATTATTACACACTCTACCTCATTTATTCACCATCCATCATCTGGAAATGATATCGTTGTAACGTCACTCTGAATAATCTCGTTTTCCAGCAGTTTCTAAGAAGAGGAGAGTCTCGAAGAGTCTCGATCATCGACACGTATCAACGGCGTTTGTCAGCGTCGTTGCAGTTTTGTCATTCATCACAAACGTTTCATTCGAGGAGAATATGTCATTGAATACGGCACACACCAACGGCGGAGTTCTTCTCCATTCTGGCGAGTGGTAAGCAATGAAAACCTATTTAAATAATTTGCTATCATTCATATATTGCATGAAATTTATGTTAATCGTAAAATTATCTATTTTGAATCTCGATATGACTTCTGCCATGCAATACCGTCATAGCCTTCCGCCTACAATTAATTGTTTTATCCAAATCCTTGTTACTTTATCACAAATATGCAATTACACAATCGCGTTTAATTTCAATTATTCAAATAAATTACCCATTCCATCTACATGAATCACATTTGCAATACCTGTATCATTTAAATTAACATAAAGTTTGTACAATATCTCGCAATAATACAAACTAACTTTTGACATTTAATTATCTCTAGCATCATACTCTTCTGCGACAATGTCAATATGGAATTTCATGGACAAGAACAACCAGAATTTATTGGAAAAAAGCATGGCAGATTATACTTGACAACGCATAGGATGATCTTTAATGCTAAAGATCACAAAGAAAAGATGCAGTCGTTTAGTTTTCCATTTGTTACACTGAGCGAAGTAGGGCTAGAACAGCCAGTTTTTGGTGCTAATTATATAGGAGGCAAATGCCGTGCTCAGCCAAATGGTAATTGGATTGGAGAATGCAAATTTAAATTGAGATTCAAGAGTGGCGGCGCAGTAGAATTTGCTCAAGCCTTGCTGAGAGCTGCTGCAATGGGTAAGATAAATATAATTGATGCAAAGTGTATATTTTACACAGTTGGCAATGTTTTAATATGTTAATCTATATGTATTTTCCATATCAAAATACATGTATATTTTTATGTTTCATATATCAGAAACATGACACAAGATTAATAGTATTACCAAGTATACAATAAAGACAAATTTATCGATTAAGCTTGACTTTAGCAAGATATGAAATATCTTCATTATATTCTGCATGATTTTTAGCTCAACGCAACGGTCCAGCAAATGATGCACCACCACCATATACGCCTCCATTGTCTGATTGGTATCCGGCACAACCTTCAGCTTATCAACCTCCTCCAACTGGATACTATGGATGGATGCCTCCAACCAATGTTTTCCCAGATGTTCCACCAGGTTAATATTGGCTTTTTAATTTCCTATATCGATTTAATTTGATATCTCCAAAGTTATTGATTTACTTGCGTAAGAAAGATTATGATCCTGAGTATTTCTACAATGCAATCTTTTATTGTGCTATTCTCATAGCAAGATTTGGCTCGCTATCCAAAGTAAAATAAACAACACACATACTTCTATTTAACACACTTGATGCATATGCACAAGAAAAAAATGTTTGGTTTTAATGAAAATAATATTACAAGTGTACACTTTGTCATATTGTAATATTGAAACTTAAAAGTTGTAAAAATACACATCAGTAGTCAATCTTGTGTACAGTTCTGAAACATTAACCATATAATGAGATTCATTTCCTTCATCATTTTAGAATACACTTGTATTGAACATTTTTAAAAGCTCATTGTATATAAAATTCATATTGTTTCTTTTCTAGGAAATACAGTCTTTATGACAGATAGTCCGCCACCGTATCCAGGAATACAGCCAGGATACGGATACGCGAGCGGCCCACAACATCAAGGCGCCGGAGCCGCAGTAGGACAACCAGGAGCTCCTCCCGGATGGGCCAATCCGAATTACAATAGTCAGCCGATGTCCCATGCAGGTGCGTATCCTGGTGGTTATGGACAACCACCTTATAGCGGTTATTCGCCTAATCCACCACCGTATTCGGCATACCCGCAATTATATGTGTTGTAAATTATATATATACATATATGTACATATATGTATATATATATACATCAAAATTATAAATTATGACAAATAACAAACTTCGAAAAAATTACAAAAAAGAATGCGCTAAACATTCTTTACGAATAATATATACGCTTATGCAATATGTATATTTTTCTAAATATCAATAGTTTAGTAAAAATATGCTTTTCGCAATTGTATTGAATATAACAGAGTCATCATGCGTTGATTCCACAAGGTTATAGTGTACGTTATATATATTAAACTTGTACTATATTAATATATATATATACATATATAATATAATATTAAATATTGATTAAAGACAATTTTTACTGTTTTTATTCAAACCTATCAATTCAAGATTTCGTTTTCAAACGGAAAGATAGCTAGAGGATTAATGTGCATACCCACTAAACTTGAAAGTTTGAAATATTAAGCAATACGGTTGCGTAACATGTCCTCACTCGATCTGAAATAAGATTGGCTTTCACTTCACTCAATTATTTTCTCGTAGTTGTCAGTAGATCAGTAAACGGCTTGGGCAGACAGATGTAGCAGACTGTGTGCTTCAAGTTAATTTTTAATCCGCGTTATATCATCCATTTATGTTGTACATTTCAAATATAATTTTTCACATATATACGAGTGCATAGATAAATATTTCATTGTTTATCACGCGTTTTGCATCCAAAGGAAACGGTTAAAACTTGATATACAAAGTAATGCCAGAACAAAATAAATTCAAAACATCAAACAGGAATTATGTTTGTATGTACTTGATTAATACTAATAAGAATGCTACTATAATAAGAACGCTAAAAGTACATAATTATGTATAATTTATCGTCGTTACATTAAATTTTAATGATATACTTAATCGCTGACGATTTTTAATCTGGCGTTTAACATAAATATGAAAAATAATATTTTATTGCCATTTTTTAACTTTTGCATTAAATCTCTTATACATAACTAAATTTTTTTAAATAAATACGTGTATTATTGTTGCCATATGCACCTCCGTAATTAATTTGTAAGACGCTAACTATTTTCGTTATAGTTAAAAAAATGTGACATTTTGTTAAGAAAATCGTGCTTTTCAATTTAGCAAAAACTGTCATTAAAATTTTTGGCATGGTAATAATGTGACGTCTTATTTTTAACTTGTGTTGAAATACATTATTCCACATTGCCATTTTTTTATCAGATGCAAAGGCTGCTGAAGCTGCGCAGAGCGCATATTATGATCCTAATAGACCTCAATGCGCTTATGTTCCACCACCAGAATATTACGTAAGTTATGTTTTAATTACATATGTAATATTTATGGTGATATCCAAAAGTTTATGAATCTGCAGTATTAAAAAAAAACAAAATATATATTTTATTTTTTATTTATATTTTTATTCATAAAATTGTTTCTTTTTCTAAAAATATTTTTTTTGTTTTTTAATATTTCTGTTTCTTTAACATACTTGATATAAAACGGGATACTTTATCTCATTTCATTTTTTATCAACTTCAATTCTATTGTATTTTTATCGCCAACAATACAGATCGTCTTATCTATGGCACACAACATGATAATCAAGTACTTAGCATTATATAGATAGGGATAGAATATTTTTATTTTTTTCTATATATATAGATTAGGCAAATTTCTCGCACATGTTATATAGAAAGGTATATTTGAAATTGTAATTTTAACATATGCATTGATCCGTGTTCATAATGCCTTTACGACGTTAACGCGTATTTATCGATAAAAATGCGTTTTGAATACGGGTCATTATGCATATTGAATTATATGTATAAATACATAATAATGTTTGTTGATATATTTCAGGAAAGTCCACCAGCCTACACAAAGAAATATCAGTGAAAATATATCGCATTACACAAGCGAACTATATAGTGTAATCGGTATGCATTCCACTTTAGGTGAATACTGCAAATTTGTATGCTGTCGCGCATTTAACGTAACAAACTGTCAACGTTTGTTACAACTCTTGAATCTGGATACATAGATTCAAGTTGATGGTTGAAGGTGCACCAAGTTTTTCTCATTATAGCTATGCAATATTAAAGCACAGGTTACACAGGTATTACTGCAGGTACTCCTGTAACAATACTGCTATGTATTAACGCGAGTATTAACAATAATTTCTTGTACATGTTATCTCTTGAAAACAATTGTATTGTTGTGTTTCACACGAGTCTATATAATTATGAAATAAATGTTTACACATATGTAAATACGTAAATGATTTGTAAAACCATGAATTTATTATAAATGAATGTGTTTTAAATCTTTATTGAAAGTTATTAAAAAAAAAAATTATATATATATATTGCGACATTATGAACATAATCAAGCATAAAAACAAAGATCAGTATAAATCTTTGAATATATTTTTTATGAAACTGTATTCTTCTAATAGAGGAAAAGGAGATGAATTTACAATATTCAATAACAGATAGTTTATATTAGAAGACGATATTCTCTAATGTGAACTCAATAGCTATTCATTGAAAATGCGTTCAAATCTTACCGTTTAACAATATAATTTTATTCATTGCAGTAACAAAAGATCGAAAAACATCGAATAACGACATAATAGACGTTAAAAGGCATACATTGTATCCAATTTCTCCAATCGGTATTCGCTAAAAGATAAAAACCGACTGCCTAGAATCCTATCCAAGCAATTTTTGTACGTTATAGATTACACTCTGGAATGCGCAAAAAGTTTTAAAAATCTATCCATACTCTGAGGTGACTGTCAAACTAAGATTTCCATTTTCGATGTGAGTACTGTGATACCAAATCCGCGTATCCAACAGTACGACATCCGTTACATTGACGGAAAATTTAAAAGATTTACATTCGCTATCGCATTCCGGTGTTGGAGCCACGGTCCACGTTTTGCTACCTATTACTTGAGCTTGCCACATGAGTCTCGATATATAATCCAACTATAAAACAGAATAAAAAAGATTTGCAAATATTGTGATGACACATTTTTGCAATGCCGTATACACAAATGGATGGTTCGGCTACAAAACTTACATGCATAACGGCACCTTCCTCATAGCCCATGAAAATGTAATTGCTATAAGGAATTTCCGCGTCATCCGGCAAAAAGTGAGGTATATTGTAAAATTGCTTCATAGTATCTAGAATTTGTGGATGGCAATTTTTCCAGCCGACATACCAAGGATCTTCACCCTCGCGATGTGACGCTCGACCTTCACTCATCGCAAATACCTCGCGCAGATTTGCGAAATTACTTTTAAAATGCAAAAACTGACATTCCTCTTCTATCGACTCGTAGGCACCCTCGATACGCTCGTACAAGTTCCGAAAAAACTCCAAAGTAAATTCTTTATGCGCAGGCCAATCATAGGCTGCATTCTTTATTATCATTGGTCGGGACGAATAGGAATAAAAGCGAAATTCCTCTTTGGTCAAATTCGGCAAGATTAGCGGCGCTTTGATATCGCGACAGTAATCGCAATTAGTTATCGGTCTTGTAAACTCCCATATAAGATAATTGTTCGGTAGTAAGCATCGAGTTCCTTGAAAATTCTTAATTATATTATTGTAAACATATCTATGGAACATGCCGTAAAGAAATGGCATTAATAACATCACCAGCAATTTCTTCGAACGCGTTCTGAAGCTACGATTCTTGGCACTTTTTGCATTAGCAGTCATAGTAATAGATTTTAAATCATTTATCACAACCCCTTGTTGGATATAATTTTCAGTTAATTTAAATAATGCTTTTTCTATAAATTCTTCGATATCTTCTGGCGATACCATTCTAAAGTAATATAGATAAATCCTTGACCTTGATTAATTTGTCATCCATTTATTTCCGCTTTTAATTTCGTTCATAGAAAGCTAAATAAAGTTATTCGAATTTGTACTTTATTAATGTGTGTGTAGATATTAGTTAAATTTATTTTTCACTTTGATATATGTAGAATACGGAATATAATTCATATTTTCAATATTCCACTCACTCTTGTACCATGCGGTGTAATAACGTGCGTTTCAATTGGTCTTGACAATGTATGAATATCAATTATTATGATGATAATTACTGTAATATAGCGCTGCCACTCTTGTATTCCGTTTCAATACTCTCTTATAATGTAGTGCCAACATTGCGCGCTGATACTTACATTGATTATCATCGCCGCATATTTGTACAGTATATGAATCATTTGCTTTATTTAAACCTTGATGTGGCTTTGTTGTTTACATTGCCAGAAAAGATTACAGAAGATCTGAATTATAAATTTAAGATTCCACACAAAAAAATATTTCGCTGTCATTTCTCACGATAGTCCGGTACAGCGATCTTTGTGCAAATCACCGGTTTAAAATACAAATAATACAAACGATAAATAATATAGTCCATATTTACATGTTTGTGCACGCAACATCTTTCTCGTCCTTGAGTTACATACGCGTACTGTGAGAGCTGCAGAGCTGTTATCGATTATACGACGCGGAAACTTTCATCTCTCGTCCTACTTGGTGGGGATTCTCCTTCCAATGGCATTCACATCTGCCTTACGAATGGAAGTCTGTTTTAGTTACGACTAAGTACTTTAACAAGATGTTTCCTGCATCCTGCATCATATGTTCAGCAGATGTGTCTTCTGCCTTCGTTAAAAGAACTATTTCTATTATGACATACGTGTACATTTAAATAGAAAAATTTTAACGCCGATAGAATATATATTTTATATAGATTTGATATCAGTCTGTTATTTACATAATAACATTTTTATCTAATCACGCGCGCGGATAGAACTACGATTTTAAAAAATTAAGCATTAAAAAACAAAGTCTCAGAAGTATTTATTTCATCAAATCACACAACTAATGTACAAGTCTCATTCAAACCGACTTCTCAAGTAGATTTCTCGACAGTAACTGTATCGTAGATATTACTACAAATTTTGATTTATCTTATTCTTGTGATTACATGATTCAAACGTATAAAACCTAATTTACAGCAGTTACAACGTTAAAGATAATATATGAATTCTTTATGTATAATTCTTATAGATCATGATATAGTATTTTGATCTTTTTTACATGTTATTTTATTATTAGGCCAATCACAAAATGTTGAACGGATTTCTTTATTTCATTCAACGAAAAATTCGTTGTTATTCTGCTGTCGAGTTAATGTAATGATGCAGAAATTTATCCTCGTCTTTTATTTACAAGGATTATATCTGTTCAATAGCGATATAATGTGTTGTAATCTATTTCATAAAAGATGTGTGTGTGTGTGTGTGTGTGTGTGTGTGTGTGTGTGTGTGTGTTTGCGGGCGAACGCGCATGTTGTGTATTTCTTTTTTGTTGCATGAGCATTTTGCTACAACAAAAAATAAAACTTTATTAAAACTTAACATGTACCAAGAATAGATTTCAAACAGTTTTGAATAATGTATACACATATGTATACACATGTATATACATGTGATTACATTAAATCATTTGATAAACTGAATGTTATGTAAAAATGTATGATTAAATATAACAAATCATAAGTTGTATGGATAATGATCTTTTTTCAAAAGTTTGCTTACAAATGCAATGTTATAACTTAAACCCTTTCGCTACGGCATGCTCATAACAAAAAACGCTCGTATGCAGAAGGTACACATTTCAGGTGCAAGCAACGTTAATAAGAATTTTTACAAGTGCTAAAGAGGGAATTATAAACATTTTATTTCATTATTTGAAATGATTTTTTTAACTTGCCTGCAATTATCTAATTATAAATATCTTTTGTAATATATAAATTTTTTATTATAAATGTTGAAAACTGGAGGGAATAGAAATATAGACGTTCTTATATATGTACATTAAATAGTCGCTCACTTGTTAAAGGCATAAATGTATGCTCTTTACAGCGAAAGGGTTAATTGACATATAACTAAATTTCATAAAGTTGCTTCGTTGATATAAGGTTATGAAGTAGTGTGTACAAATAATATATTAAATTAAATCAAAAATCTTAATATAGTATCCAAATCAAAATATTTTTATTGCAAAAATGATTTATCAACAAATTAAATATTTTTTATAGATTTTGAATAAAACTTGCAAATTTCAATATAAATTGAAGACACATTTCAAAAAAATTAAAAAAATGAAATTTAAAAAAATCATAATTAAAAACATTTGTAATATTATCACAACACATTAATTATGGAAGTTTCACTAATCACAGTTCTCATTGTGTAAAACTGTCTATTTAACTTTCAGCTGTGTAAAAAATTCAAGGTATACACTTAAATCTTGACTATGAAAATATAAAACATTTGGCATAGTGATTAAATTCTTTTTTTTTCCCAATAAATCAAGACTAGTCACCTAAATAATTTTTGTAATGGGACAGACTACGTTTATTGGGTATTCTCCGCAATGATAACGCAACTCAAAATAAATTATTACTTACTGTTAGAAATGTGTGTGACTAGCTGACAGTTTTTATGTCAATGTAACAGCAGTGTTTGTATCAATGTTTACACCCGATTAATTAAGCTTTACAGAAATCGAAATTTCCGGCGATTATCAATCAGAAGTAACACCATTTGCCAAGAATAGCGTCCTTAATAGCGGATATGTACTGCGCAGGGACCCAATATATCCAATACCTTGATGCTTCCGTAGTGCCTAATTGTATTGCCTGCAAATTATGAAAATTACTATTAAAATACCCAATGATTATTACAGAATTTATGATAAGCTCTCCGAGTGATATACATGCCATAATGTGATATTCAGGATGATCATGAATAGGTTCACTATGGACGCCTTTTATCGAATTCATAGGTATTTTGTCTGTTCTTTCTTTCGTGCCGATCCAAAGCTGATCTTGCTCCAATTTAAATGTTAGCCTGACTTTCCCTCCAGACTTATTTAACATTCCAGCTAATGGAAATTCAGGCAAAGGTTCCTATATAATTAATTGGCAAAATCAGTTGCAATGAAATCGGTTTCATTACTGTGTGTATACATGAGTGTAAAACTTTATGTAGATTATACAACCTTGCTATCTAGTATCCCTGGCATTACATCTTCTGGAATACCTTTATCTAAAACTTTCCTATGGATTTTTTGTTGCGAAAGAGGTTCTTTGCTCACCGAAGAAACAGCCTCATCGATGAGATCTTGTTTCGTTGGAATTGACACAGCCAATACGTCATCTAACTTTGATCCAACTATCATGACTTTGGCACCTTAATTGTCATAAAGCAAGTAGGTAATTTTATTAATGACATATGTTTATGCAATGACAAGATGTGTGGTTATTACCTTTCGTGACTCCCAAGTTTCTAAGAGTCTGATCGTCTTTGGCTAATCCTTTAAACATAACTTTCTGCATCGCTTGTGGTACTGAGATAATTTTTTGCAAATATGTCTTTAACTCGGCAACTGTGCAATCCAAAGCAAAATTTACACTAATCTTCTGTTTGTTGTAAATCACTGTAAAGTCTACATTCTCTGTGGATGGTTCTTGCAAGGTAGTATCCTGCGAGCTATTGACATTGTTTTCGCACTCCATTGTTGTTTCTTTAGTCTCTGTCGCCGAATTTTCAATGGACTTTGGATTCGACGCGAGTTCCGGACAAGGAGACGAGTTGCAACAGCTGTCATTGTTATCGTCCTTTACAGTATCTAGGAAGACAAAAATACATCTCAATATGATAATACATCTCTCTGACAAAAGCCTAAAATTTTTTTGCTCGTAAAAACGTTGCCGATTGCGCAGATTGTGCACAATAACTATCTAGGAGACACAAATTGTTTTAATTGTTGTCATATTTGTTGAGCAATACCAAACGAAGGTACGAATGGGCGGTTAACCGGTGAAAGGTTAATCGCCTTAAAAAAAAAGGTTCCCTTTAAGAAAGAATTATTTTAGCAGCCAAACGATGCAAACATACGTCGTTGCATCGGAATTGAAGATAATCCGTATAAATACACGCTTCCAAGTTTAGGAGCTTATGATATTAGAACGAGCATCAACGTCATAAAATTATCTGACATACACAAACACACACCACACATTGAGATAGGATGTTTCGACGAAATGTCGCGATTCACCTATCAATCGGTCGGACTTGTCGCGTGATCGAAAGAAAAGATGGTAAAGTGGGAACAAAGAGTAAGCGAACACTGACAATTTTCACAGAAAGCACGAAAAATAAACAGAATTCAGCACATACCCACGTACTCCATGTTGAACCGTGTTTCGTTAACCAATCAAAATTATCACAGAGAGCGTCACGCATCGTGACATCGGTGACGCACGTTCTTCGGAATGACTTTCGAATTTTTGAATCTTTCATCTCGCTATGTGTGATTCGCATTTATAAGTATGCATATAAAAAAATAAAATATATATATATATATATATATTAATATTTATTTAAAGAAATATTTTTATATTTAGAAAAAAAGATAATAAAAATATATATACGATTCAATATATTATTGGAATAACTCGATTATTGTCCAACTTGTCTACGCCAATTCATTATTACTATCATCGATGAGATATTATTAAAGACCTTCAACCCTGGCCAAATTTTCATCCTTATGCCTTTACAAAGAAGATCCGGAGATAATTGAAGAACCCTGACATTATCGACAACTGATATAAATTTATGGTTTATTAATAATTAACACAAATATTTTGGATAATGTATTATTAAATTCATATTTTTTATTATATGAACACTGGATAAATAAGTGCATATTGCTGCAAAATTACAATTTGTTTTCTCTACAGTTAGCATTTCTATTGATAACATCGCGACGACAAGATACTAGGTTCCAGGAAATTCCGATTCCTGATTGATTCAAGTCAAACGGAGACTTGGGTTACCATTTATTACTATATTACGTTGCAGATTCTGTGCCGTAAAGCCGTAAAGGATCGCGCGCACGCTCCGCGTGTGTTGCATGGAGATCAATGAGGTTAGGAAAGACGTTAGGAGAGAGAACGCAGTTTTTTTACAGCGTGGGATAACGGCTTACGGAGTAATATATTCGCAGCAATTTTAAGGTGAGCCAAAACAAGCGTAATGGCGAACACGGGATGTTCCGCTTTCTCTCAGGATGGACAATATTATGCGTTTTGCGGTAATGACGGCAAGTTGAAAATCTGGGAGACTGCAAGCGGCCGGCTGAAGCATGAGTACACTCCTAATCGGCACTTATCGTCACCCTGCAACGTCATAGAATGGATCTTTGTGAGCCCGCAATCGGCGGGCAACGTATCGGTAAATATATGCATCGTGTGCTCTTTAACCACCACAGATATTCCCGCTCTCTCTCTCCTCCTTTTTTCGCTTTATTTGCATTGTTATTATGTTATGTACAATTTCATGTCGACAGTCTTTATTGTTTTTAATCCTCATCCGCACTCCACCACAGATATTCCCGCTCTCTCTCTCCTCCTTTTTTCGCTTTATTTGCATTGTTATTATGTACAATTTCATGTCGACAGTCTTTATTGTTT